GACATGAAGCGATACCTCATGGAGCAAGGGTTGCACCGCGGCTCCAAGTTTACCGAGGCCATGGCAATCCACCAGCCAACCATCCTCCAAGGCCTCCTCGAAAAGGCCCGAGCATACATCCGGTTCAAGGAGACCAAAGCTGCCAATTTCGTCCGAGACTCCCGGAATCGCGAAGCTGCCCGCGACGCTCTGGAAGAAGAAGCACCAACCTTCCGGCGCGATGGAGATCGACGACGAGATGATCGTCCTTGAGAACCCCAAGAACAGCAGGGGCCCGTAGGCCGTTTCACTGAGTACACGGCCCTTATCGCTTCCCGCGAGCGCATCCTGGCCAAGTGCGCCAATTCAGAGTTCGTAAGGGGAGGTGTCAGTTTCCCAAAACCGACACCTCTGAAAGCTAATGTGGACAAGTCCAAGTACTGCTGCTTCCACCGCAGCCACAGACATGTCACCGAGGATTGCATCCATCTCAAGGATGCGATCGAGATACTCATCAAGGACGGGCACTTGAAGAGGTATACCAGGGGAGGAGAAGCCCCTCGACAAGAGGCCCACGAGGCCAAAAAGGTCGAAGACGTGCCTCCGCCCGCCAACGACACCGGATTGCAAGTGGCCCTCAGCATAACCCGGACCAAATACTTTCTCTCTCTAAGAGAACTCAACTTCCCTACCGAGCTCAAGCTTCCCGAGGAACCAGTACGCCCCCCATCAGCCCATAGGAATACTTCCTGTCGCAACTACGAAAAAGGGCCGACGGAAACAAACAAAAGAGTCGCTATCGAACGTTATTTATCCCAAAGAGAGGGAAAGGAAACAATCAAAGAAAACTTGAGGAACGGGAAAAGACAAGGTCATCACAACCAAATCTTGGGTTCGGGAGTCGGTTACGCAAGGGGAAGGTATGAGCAACCCTCACGTCCGTTGTACTCAATGGGACCGACCCTTGTTGTCTGATCTATGGGTGAAAGTTATCTAAAAGCTACTGCTAAACGGAAAAGGAAAAGAAAAAGGAGACTCGATAGGACATCGCTGCCCTATGCCTACGTATTTCCTCGTGCAATGGAAAAGTCAGAGTCAACGTAGTTCGAAAAACTACGAGTGAAGGGTGTAACACCCCCTTATATACCCCCAAATAAATGCATATACAAATTTATCAGAGTGAAAATTTTAGAATAAGGTATAAAGGAAGAATGTCACAATTTCACCAAGAAACACTTTAACATTTGCTCCATAAAATATGTAACATTTTCATAGTTTTAGAAATCACATTTCAACCTTAAAATTTAAGCGGAAGATAAAATCATTTGATCATTTCCAAAATATTAATTCACATACACATAAGATATCTAGATTAATACATCATGCCAGGTAATTACAAGCCACATCAGCTGATACATCGCAATGTATCACAAAAGAATACTATACCAGCCTAACTACCCGGTGTTACATAATCAGAGCAGTCCGACTCAAAAGAATGAAGCTATACTTCACAAAAGAAAGACTCCAGCATCCTAATCTGCAATGCCTCGTAGAGCATTATAAAACAGCAGAAGGGTGAGAAATATTACCATAATAATCAATGCATAAGATTATGTATATACAGGTATCACATAATTACATTCTACATTTCTCACCACAAATTCAATTCATAGTCATATTTATCATGTTGTAATATAAACAAATATGAACATACCCAAACATATCCCTTCATACATATTCCCCAATCATCCAAAACCCATCTTATTCACAAGCATACTTCATATATCCATGACATTTATGCTATTACCACATCATCAAACAATGCACACATATCCATGATATGTTCCCATGCATTTCTCACAATTATTAATGATGCACACATATCCACGATATGTTCCCATGCATCTCTCACAATTATTAACGATGCACACATATCCACGATATGTTCCCATGCATCTCTCACAATTATTAACGATGCACACATATCCACGATATGTTCCCATGCATCTCCCACAATTATTAACGATGCACACATATCCACGATATGTTCCCATGCATCTCTCACAATTATTAACGATGCACACATATCCACGATATGTTCCCATGCATCTCATACATAATTGTATACACATCAAGCATTCACAAGTTCATTAAATAATACACACATAATCACCTATTATGTTCACATGTATTTATACTTGATGCAATTAACATTCAAATCACAATTCTAGGATTCACGCCCGTAGGCTACCCACAACACACATCATCACAATAGTACATAAACTATGCGATTAATCAAGCAATAAACCATGGTCGAACCACACAATCAACCTATGGATAAATCTCAAATAAAACATCAACCTGTCATACTCGCTACTCCTTCGCTAAGCGAACTCCTAGCGAGTATTCGCTACTTGTTCGCCTAGCGAACGTGCTGACGAATCTCAACAGAAGTTACTGACTTCATTCGCTACCTGCTCGCTACAACGAGCTTCCCAGCGAATCGTTCGCTATCTCTTCGCTACACTTTCGCTACCAGCGAACACACCAAAATCCATTATGTCCAAGTCTGGGACCATTCGCTACTTGTTCGCTGAGTGAACCCCTAGCGAGTATTCGCGACCTGCTCGCTTAGCGAGCTGCTAGCGAGTGTCTGCGTATTTTGTTTTTCACTTACTGTTATCCAACTCAACCAACTCCAAAAACTCCAAATCTCACTAATCCAACTCCAATACTCTTAGTCTAACATTTCTAGACTACTCTACATCATCTATTTCAGATTTTAACCGATTAAATCCAACTTTGCCCTAAATGGAAAAGGATGGAAACTACCCCACAATCCAAACCCAACATACATAATAGTATACAATGATCAAATAGCAATGTTTCTCACCCTTACCTCGATTAATCGGAGCTTTGATGTTGGTTCTTGATGATTTTCCACTTTCCTCTTCTTCTCCTCTCTTTCTCTTCTTCTTCCCTCTTTCTCTTCTATTTCCTTTACCTTACTATATTTTCTTTTCTCTTCTACTTTCCTTATATACTTCCTTATTTTCTTTCCTTCCCATTTCTCTCTCAATTCTCTATTAATTTCCAATTAATAAAAATTAATTTCCACATTAATAAAAAATCCCACTAAATCAATTAATTACTATAATTAATTATTTAATGAAATTTGGGCTGTTACAAAGGGGGGAAAGTTGCTCGCCAAGACATCGTCGTCTTGTGTCTATGTATCCTCATATGGTATGAGAAATCAGAGAAAACATAGTTCAGGTAAACTAGACCACTGGTTGGTTAAGTGTTTTTTATGAGCAACGCTAAGTCTCCATTCCAACAGTTAGAGACGATGCCTGTTTGCGGTAGAACGGAAAAATAACGTACTATTTTTTGAAAAATGGAGTTTGAAGAGCAATCGCGAATGATAAAAAGATTTGAATTTTGTTAGTGAGTTTTAGTGAAGTGGATTGAGTTAGTTTGAGACTCACGTCGTACTAAAGACTATGACATAAAAGCGAATGCGTCGCATATCGCCCAAAAGGCCATACCCTAAACACTCTAGACAAGCGAGGAGAAACCCCTCACTCATCATTCCCCATGTACTTAAGGCTCGTAGCGCATGACGTTTATCGTTCTTTATTAAGTGTCTTGAAGAACTTTGAGATGAGAAAAGAGAGACGCGCACAAAGTCTAAGGGAAACTGAGCCCTAACTTGTTATCATACAAAGTGGCCTTAAAGTCAGGATTAGGAGGGAAATCTACCTAATGTTGTCATTCTTGAATTAAAAGTCTAATGTCTCTCCTACCCCTAACTTAATCAGAAATCAAGCCGAGTTAGGAATCCTAAGGGATCATGTGAATACAGGAGGTGAACAACAAGTAAACACAAAGCATCACAATCACAAAAAACGTCAAGTATCGAAACTAAAATTAATATATACAGAAAAAAAATATGTACAAGTATCGTTAAAGAAATATTTACAAAGGTACTCGAGAATTAATCGAAAACCAAAATCAAGAATTAAAATAAAATTAAAAGAGTTAGTTAAGTTAAAAATTGAAATCAAAAGTCTAATCCTATGTTAATTCAAAAATTAATTCCTAATCCAATTCTAAATTAAAGTTAACATCTAAAAATTAAAACTAAAATCTAATGTTAATTAAAATCTAATTATAAAATAATTATCTAATTAGAACTAAATCTAATACAATTCTAAATTAATTAAATCCTAAGTTGATTAAATTAAATCTTAATATAAAGATAGTCCTAATCTAATTCTAAATTAAAACTAATTTTAGAATTAATTAAAATCTAATTATAATCTAATTAAAATTAAAAACTAATTAAAAACTAAATTCTAAAATTAAATTCTAAACCTAAGATTAATATCTAATTAGTAAAATAAAAACTAATTAAAACAAAAACAAAATAATATAAATAAATAAATAAATAAAAAAGAAATTGCGGCGCAACTTATGCCTGGCCCCAACATTGATCCATACACCAGGGGGAGGGGGGTTCAGCAGCAATTCGAGAGGTGTGAATGAAAATGGGAATATGGGCTTAACAACCCGGCCCAGGTGTTAATAGAAGTCATAATTTAACCTAGACTAAGGCTCTCCCTCTCTCAAACGTGACCTCCTTCTTCTTCCTACAATACCTGCGCCGTGACCTCCTTCTCTAAACGGCGCCGCCGCGTAGCTCATCCTCACGGCAACCACAACTAAACTTCATCCGTCCGCTTCAGTCTTTCTTCTCCACCTCTTCTTCCTCCACAAATCGTGCCATCAACAACTACATCTCCCCTTAATCGCTTTCAAACGTCACCAAAAATCCAAACAGAACAAAAACAAAACTCAAAACCTCGCTCCTACTCCAATTCAAACAAAATGCTAACAGGAACAAACACTCACAACAAGTCATCGCCTTTTATCGTGCATACAAGACTAGAATCAAAGTTCAAAACGAGAGTACCGAAATTTCGCGATGACGACGATGCTACGATAAGTACGATTCAATGCTAGCTTCTTTTTATCCTTTTCGCGGAAAATCTCAGTTCTTTCTCGTCTACTCCTTGCTTCTTCAATCTTGCTGCTGATTCTCTTGTTGCGTGTCGTGTTGATGTTGAATTGAGTTTGAAGGTTGTGCGTTGAATTTGCAGTGAAGTGACAGTGTCGTGGTTTCTCTCGCAGGTTGGGGAATTGCTACAGAGTCGAAGAGAATTGTGATGGAAGGTGAAAGTGATGCTTAGAGTGTGTAAGATTGAAGAAAAATCGTGAAGAACGGTTCTCAATCTTGTTGCACTTTTCAGCTGGTTTTTTTTGAAGTACATTAGTGGTGAAGTTGGAATCGAAAGAGATGCTGAGGTCTACAGAGGAATCAAAAGGAAAAAGATCCCTCTGCTCTTCAAGTCTGTTGCTGTTTTATACCAGAAATAGGAGAGGTGGTCTAGGGTTTTCTCATGTAATTCTGTTAGGAATTGTTAGGAGGATTGGCTGTGTATCGTATGGTACGAATCATTGTGCAGAAGGAGATTCGTTTTTTTCAAGGTTGTAACGTATGAACAGCAGGTTTCCTCTGTCATTTTGGAGGTAGTGGACGGTAGCAGGGTCCCAATTGTTGTAGCTTGCATTTTTATTTTGAAGTTTGTTATCATTTCTGTACCTTTTGTTTTGCTGCTAAATAATGTTACCGCCATGTATTCTTATCTTTTCCTGTTATGAATATTGCAGCTAGTCCATTGGTCTATATTATTTTTCTGTTAAAAATCAGTTAGGCTCAGTTTTTTTTGGATTTCTGTTAGCATGTTGTTAAAGGCAGTCATGGTGGTAGGGAACTCATCCTTAATAATAAAATCTCCGAAGAAAACCAACGAGTCCTTCCAAGAGCCACTCATCATTTGGTGACTCAAGACTAATATACACATCAAACCACTGTCTTGCAAAAGGGCATAAGCAAGTTTAAGCAAGTTTTACCCTTGTATCACTGGTATGCCACAACAAGCACTGGTCTACAACCTTCTCGTCATACGAAATTTAAGAACTAAATACACATATAGAGGCTCCTGAACTCAATGGTGAGGCTGCCATCTCAGGCTCCACAAAAACTTACTTGTGCTACATTGAATTCCAAGTTGTAGCAGCATTGCCATGCAATGGTGTTAAACACGGACAAATGGAATTGGCTTTAGCAATTGTTAGGCAAAGTGGATTAGATAGTTGGACAATTGGATTTTCAAATGGATATTGGGTTTAAATTTGGATTTGGGAAAAGGTTTAAAATGAATGAATGGTTAATTGAATTGAAATGGATTTTGAACTGGACTTAAAAATGTGGATAAAATTGGACATGGATTAAGACATAGAAAGTTTAGAAATGGTCTAGTTTTTGAAAAAATGGTCATAAAAATGAGTTAATGGACATGTTTCGGATAGTTGAAATTTGAATTTGAATTCGAAGGGTGAATGATGATGAACCTGGAAATGGTGAGTATCTTAAATTTCAAGTAACTCATGTGGACTTTTCTTATGCCCTGCAGGCTTAAAACAGCTTGACAAAATCCAAATCAAACTCAAATATTCAATAAATTCCCAACTCCAATCATCTTCAATCTCAATGCCCTGATGACCATACAGGTCCACGTCTGGATCTCTTGTACCGTGAATACCAAGATGCCTTTGCCACGAAACGCCTGATTCACACCCATGAAATCCTGACCCGACGCTTCTGATGAATTAATGGAGAAAAAACTTTGGAGCTTGGTGAACCTCTGAAGAAGAAGATATTCATGATAACATGAATTCAATCCTTTCTTTAACTCGACTGAGTAAGAGCCAATTGAATAACTTCTGAACAGGGAAAACACCAATAACAAGAAAATCCTTTGATTCCATGTCCTAGAAGACCATGCAAAGTATGATTACGGAGTATGAACTAACTAAGATGCAGATGAGTGCAAAACAAAAGCCAATTAAGGTTATAAAAAAGTGAGGGCAAATTTTGGGGTGCAACAACTGCCCCTATTCAATCGACTTGGACCTGAAGGTAAGAAAAATAACCGCTTTCGAACATTCAAGGTAAAAGGTGATTGAATACTAAAAGAACCCAAAAATTTGCAATCCGCAGGGATGTACATAGCGAAAAGACCGCCAGTCGAAGGTGGACTTAAGAACAGCGGGTACCAACCAAAAGTTAGGATGACCGATACAGTAACCGATCATAATGTCGCACCTCGAAAAATCACGGAGACATTTCGGAGAAACGACCCTCGCGCGAAAGGCGCGAAAATGCGGTTCGACAGAGTCGCCACCGAACTTTATTTTTCCCGAACAAACAGGAGAGGAAAATATCGAGAAAACCTCTTAAGACGAAAGGATAGGAACAGGACTGTCGCAACCAAGTTCCGGGTTCAGGAGTCGGTTACGCGAGGGGAAGGTATTAGCACCCCTCACGTCCGTTGTACTCAACGGGAACCTCTTAGGGTATTTTGTGGAGAGTGTTGTCTAGGTTTACTTGTTTTTCTTCTCAATGATAAAGGTAGAATTGATAAGGTAAATGGTTTAAAGACGCAAAGGAGAAATGGGTGGTTAGTGAATATGGTGCTCGCCAAGGATTGGGGCCCTTGTGCCTACGTATACTCATTCAGACAAGAATGAGAAATCAGAGCATCGTAGTTCGACTACGGGAAAAGGATGGGGGATGGACGAAATAATGGATAAGGATAGAAGTGTGCTCGCCAAGATCATCGCAATCTTGTGCCTACGTATCTTATATTCAAGAATGAATAAAGAATCAGAGCAGTCGTAGTTCGTGGTAACAACCACGAAAAGGAAAGGTTTGAATTTGTTGAGGATAAAAAGTTGGATGTTGAAATCGAAAGAATGAACCAATAACAACTTAAGGGCGCGCCTCGAGAGTTACTCATTCGAATATTCAAAGAATGCTAGATTCTAAGAATATCCCTCTTCCGTAAGTTTAAGAAAACTTTTGTAAGAAGATTAAGTCGAAAGTGGAATGCTAGGCAAAAAAAAGGTTGGTTTGAAGAAAGGGTTTGACGACGATGTTGCACCCTAAAATTTGACCAACCGGGTCCCGTATCTGGCTCGATGTTTCGACGCATGACCGCATTCGCATCTGCATATCGCATACAGTGCATTTTTCATTTGTTTTGATTTTATCGGGATCACGGCCCTCATCTCGCGTCTCAGGTGTTTTTAATCAGTTTAGATAGGTAGAATCGTATTTTTGGGAAGTCGTGCTCTTCCCGGTGTTTTCAGCTCGTACTGTTGTTTTTAGGGATATTTCGGTGTCCGTTCTTTTTTACCGGCTATTTTGTTGCGCTCTCGCAGTGTTATTTGTCGTTCTGTGCTATTTTTGTTCCTTCGGGAATTATTGTGATTTTTCTGGATTTTATTAGGCATTATTAGGGCTGTAATAGATTTTTTAATCATTTTAGGATAATATAGAATATTAATAGTTTTAATAGTTTTAATCCATTTTTAGAATATATTAGGTATTAAATAGTTTTTTTAATAGAATAATATAGATTTTCTTGATAGAGTTTTAATAGATTTTAGTTTTCTAGAATATAGTTTTAATAGATATTAAGAGTTAATATAGATTGTTTTTAGAATATTTCTTCTAATATAGAATATAGTTGTTCTTTTATTAATAAATAGAGTTTCTCAATATAGATGTTAATAAAATTTAGAGTATTAATTGTTTGTTTTAATTTGGATTAGGATTTTATTAGGTCCATCAGATTCATTAATCATCCGTTAATCCATATCATTCATACTAATCATTGTCATTAATCCCATCATCCACATTATTTCATGTTAATTAGTCCGTTAATTTTCGTTAAGCAGGTCATTAATACCATTCAATTTTTAGTCCTTAATTCAGCATTTTATTCAATTTTTTTCGTTGGGCCCAGTTCGCAAGGCCCAGTTTATTCTTTTTTGGCCATTTTTCGTCCGTTTCCAGGTCCAGAATTATCCATGTGGTATAAATGGTCAACACACGTGTAATTCACAGAGGGACCCCACCACATTCACTGCATGCATACCAACGCAGCATCTCCACTATCTCTCTTCACCCCACGTGGCGTCCATGCACACAACTCCTCCACTAACCAAGACACCTGTCCTTCTCTGAAGCCTCACCGGTTGCATGGCCGGCGGCCATGCAACCACCGCCTCCAACCGTCTCCGGCACCTCTAACCTACTCCGGCCACCGTACATTTCACCGGAAAACCAAAAACCCAGAATCCTTCATCCTCTTTCTTCGACCTTCATCCTTTCTTCCGATCTTCACCATCAAACGCTACCGGAAACCTCGCCGGAAGCTTCATCATCACCGGAAAACTCAACATGTTCATCTGATCTTCATCATATTTTCCAGAAACCCACCAATCGTTGATAGTTTCTCAGATCCATCAAGATCCATGTGATCTTCACCAGATGTTCATCCGAGTTCATCAAACGCCAATTTATCTCCAGATCAGGATTCGTTGCACCTCATCAAGATTCACTCCAATATTCATCCGGTTCTTCTTGTTCTTCAATGAAGGTTTTCCAGAAACTACCAAAGAATCATCAATCTTCATCAACTGTTGAATAAACCTTCAAGAACTGATAACGATGTTCATCGTTGAGCTTCAAGATCTGCGAAGATCTTCGACGATCTTCGTCTACGGCGTTTTTTTTCCACAACATCTCCAGATTTCTCATCAACAACTCTTTGAACCGTCACCAAGATCTCCTCGTAATCACTATCCATTGCCCGGAAACACATCAAGATCTTCATCCAAAGATCTTATGACATCTTCAATCAGGTTTCATCGCCCTCCAAGCAATCTCCAGAAAGTACCGAATCTTCAAGAACGTCAAGGGATAGATCATGTTGTTTTTCCAAGAATGGGGAAATTAGTTCCGTTTTTGTTGTTTATTCATCTGTGATTGTTGATTCGAGCGAAGCCTGGAGATGGTAGTGAGGGGGGTTGAGAAGAGAAGAAATGAGACGGAGACGGGAGAGGTGAGAGTGAGGGGGGAACGGCGCAGGATGAACAGTGAACTGAGAGAGGAGCTTAGGGTTTCAGAAAGTGAAGGAAGGGAGGAAGAGATTGGGTTGGGGATTGGGCCTCAAGCCCAAAAGCGTTTTGGAGCCACACCCCCCTCTGTTTTTTTTCTTTGAAAGATCTTGGGCCTGAGCCCAATGCGGATTTGGCTGGTGAATCACCCTGCGTTTTTGGTCATACCCCCCTCCCCAGTTTTTTTTGTCTGTTTTTGTTTTTTCTGGGCTGGGCCCATTCATTTTTTCTGCAGGTTATT